CCTTCTGTAAAATTTACGATCAAAAGTTCCAGGCTTGGTCTACTCTAAATGGTATCTCTGCCCCTAGTATCCGATACTTCACGGCCTTAACTCATAGATCGTAAATCTGGTCCTTTGACTGTTTGCTATTTTAACTGTGCTGAACTGTACTTAATAACCCCGGGCTACAGCCTTTGCGTTTAGGCCATCACTTTCACAGAGTTTATTGTAATGTTTGTAGGAATTGCAAAATATTTTGTTCTGGTAAAATTTTTATCGATAAATTTATACCCATTATTCAGGTTAAAACATTTATTAATTTTTTTTTTCACCAGTAAAACTAAAAACCCAAGATTTTCCATAGTTTTCAAAATAAAAAACAAGAAACCCAGACGGCAACCAAAAAACCCAGATCCTAGGGGGAAAACCCCATTATTGGCAGCCCTGCGTAAACGTTGAATTTAGAATGTCCGGGTTGTGAATTTGTAATTCCCCACCAGTAAACGACACAAATAATATAACTGGTAGAAGCATCTTTGAAATATTACTCCAAAAAAACTATATATATACTGCAGTCCTGTGGAGATAAAGTCAAGGACACTTGTCAACGCCTTTATGTATATAGACCAATGGACGGGTATTTGGTCAACATTACGATGGACGCCTTTACTTCTCAGACTTGATGGTACCCATTAGAGACTGTGTAAACCTCAGAGTCAAGGTCATTTTTTAAGGGGGAAAATACCGGCTTCATTTGGGATTTTTTTTTCCGGATCCGCTGACGAGCATCTAGACGCTACACCACGATGGCTCCCAAAAAACGGAGTTATTACTTTTTGAATACGTGTGCCATTTGTACTTACGTTATAACCTATATTTGCGAAGTCACAGTCGTATATAAGAATAGATAGAGACGTCCTTGGCGAAGTGTTCGCTGGGGAAAGCCGTCCCTGTAAAAGGGGGTAACCCAATGTTTGTAACTATATGTATGTACATTTCTATGTAAGACCTAGAAGTACCGGGTTTCTGGGAACTATTCGAGGACAGTGAAAGTATCCATGAAATAAGAATCGAAGATGTTAAAAGGAAATTCAACAGAGAAGAAGCTGTTGTGCGAACGGTTGGTGGGTTGGGCTCTCGTGCTTAGGGTTAGACCTTCAGTACGGAATATGGAATTAATGATTTTGTTCTTTCTTTTCTGTAGGGGGCACAAATGAGAATCCTAACTGCATACTATGTGGCGACTGCACTAGTCATGCGGCCTTAAATCCCTAGGCTAACGATTAGACCGAATTAAAAAGTGAAAGTAAACATAAGCGGTAAAGATATAAATAAGTGACAATCATGGATTATGTGAAAGTTGCAGAGATGTGATGTTTTATACCAATGTTTGACCCACTGCCACCTTTCCAGTGCAGAAAAATCGACACCCCCCCCCCCCCCCCACCACCACCTTTCCTCCTCAGTTTTTCCTTCCTGGATATTTTATCATCATCATCGTCATGTGCTACACCGAAAAGCATTCGTGTTCATCATTCGCCATCCTGCACGATCAGCAGAATTACGGATTAGGTGGTGCTTTTGTCCCATGTGACAAGGAACAAGTTGGAGGGAAAGGGAGGCAGAGGGAGACAAAGAGTTGGATAGTATGGCATTAGATCATGGAAGAACATGTTTTTTTTTTTTTTTTTAATAATCAATTGACAGTACACAAGGCAGAAACGGCGAATTTTAGTACGAACTCCACACAGCATGAACTTTAATCAGGGCTTTTGTTTTTCCAGTTTTACGCGACGGTACGTAGAATGGGCACATTTCAGGGTCGTTTCTTTTTCAATCTGAGGTAATAAGAACTTTGTTGTGAGTACCGTTATCATTTCTGGACACTTCATGGTAAGCACCAGCTCCCATAATGTAAAGAAAAGATGCTGTGTTGAATATGGTACATACTGAGAAAACAATCTGATAACAGTATAACTAGAATATCCGGGTACTGGAACCTACAAGATCCATAGGAGAAGAAATGAAAAGACGGGGGAGGGGGGCGAAAGCACTCAGAAATGAGAGACAGGGAAGAGGGGGAGAGACGGGCGAATATGAACTGCGCGTGTAACTGCATGATTGGATGTGTTTCAGGGAGGACAGCGCGCAGAAGAGAGAGAACAGAGGCTTCGCTGACCATATGTGGTTCAGGGTAACAGCTTGGAATTCCCGAATGCTACCTTCCACATACGTGAAGCATTCTATTGCACAAGCCGTAATGTCATTTACGCCATCAACTACAAGAGATGTGGCCCAAAATACATATGTGAAACGGGTTTGCGACTGGCTGACAGGTTCAGACATCTTGTGTATGTGCAGAACGGTGCCCTGAAAACAGTACCATTGCATTTCAATTCCCAGGACCATCAAGGTGTCCACGACACGGAGGTGAAAGCCATTAAATCTAGCCACTCCAGCGACAGAGTTCGCAAGTTTCTTAAAAATCGCTTTATATACACTTTCACCCAGTGGACTAAACTGCCAACACAGCTTCATCTAGAATCCTAGGGGACTGAACTGCATAAACAGTTTCATCTTATCCTCGAGTTCCGAATCCTGGCTTTCCCCGTGATATTTATTTTCCTGTTTCCACGTACCTCACCAGTTTATTGACAAGACGTCGACCTAGCTGTTTCGAGATATGAAGATAAGTGATATGGCGTATTTGTGTAGTTTTGTCTAATTTGTATGTGTGTGCTGATGAAGGCTCCATAGCCGCAACGTTCACGTTTTTTTTTTTGTGTTTGTTATATTGTGAAGCTCGCTGATATACTTTTCCTTCGGGATTATATCTTTCCTTGATATTTTCACGGCGGTGCACCTGACTATGCAATTGAATATTTCAAAGCAAGGAAATAGTTTAAGTACACACCATATATTATTTATTCCATTATCTGATTAACTAGTGTATGCAGTGTCTGGTCGTGTGGTGTAGACATAGAACACACTGCTATTTAAGCAGTGTTGGTTCACTTGTAATTTGGCAGGAATGAAGGTAAATAAGCTTTCAATATGTTAGCTCACTCTGTCTTTTAAAAACTGACACCATATATCTCATTTATTCAGTGTGAAAAGAAACCAGAGTTAAACTTAATCATGTCAACGGTTTTTAGATTGCAAAAGCCACGGACCTCTATGATGAATGCGATGCGACGGGATCCATACAGGGCCGTCTGAACGCATGGGCCTGCTGTGCATTTGACCAGGGACCCCACATAGTGGCCCTATGCTAACCTATGTATGTAAAGTGACTTGCCATAAATAAAAAATGCATTTCACATTTAAATTAATTCCATGTGTCATAAAACTTTTCAAACTCATGGAACAGAGAATACGGAGACAGAGTATTCAACAAAATATGTGTTCAAAATGAGAAGTGCGGAATAAAGAGTTTGTAGAACGTGAATGGTTACTCTGTTTACCATCACAAGGTCGTTGGTACTGCTTTGTGTGTCGCCTGTTGTCCAAGAATCTCCTTTTGCTACGTAGGGGTTCAATGACTGGAAGGAAACGCATCAACGTTAATGTAAAACAAGAAAAATTGAGAACACCGAAAATGCATGGCAGCATATTTGATTAGGGATAAAGAAACTGGAAGTGTAGATTCTTTGTCAACGCAAACGATCATCGCTCAAAACAAAAATATTGACATAAAGTATTGGCCCGTGTGGTTTCTCTCATTCCTTTTCTTGCCTCCGTAGGTTTGCCGTTTCGTGTTTAAAATTCGTGGACTATTGTGTCAGCAAAAACAGCTGTTTATGTGTACAAGAGCTGCTGACGTTATCCATTCTTGGCTGAACTTCTCAAAAGTCCCCTCTCATATGAGTTCCTCATCTCACGAAATTAACTGTCCAATACATCATGAAGTCCCATCTCATATGAGTTCCTCATCTCACGAAATTAACTGTCCAATAAATTATGAAGTCCCATCTCATATGAATTCCTCATCTCACGCAATTAACTGTCCAATACATCATGAAGTCCCATCTCATATGAGTTCCTCATCTCACGAAATTAACTGTCCAATACATCATGAAGTCCCATCTCATATGAGTTCCTCATCTCACGAAATTAACTGTCCAATACATCATGAAGTCCCATCTCATATGAGTTCCTCATCTCACGAAATTATTTGTCCAATACATCATGAAGTCCCATCTCATATGAGTTCCTCATCTCACGAAATTAACTGTCCAATACATCAAAGGCTGTGAGACCGTGGAACATCCCAATCTTGGTGGGCATCCCAACTGAAGCAAAGAATCTAAGAGATACTTATGGATTTTCTTAACGAGAACAAAATCCCACTATGAAACTACAGTGCACTAATTACTCTAACCAAAAAGATGAGAGTTTGCCTTCACTTCAAAGCAACCTATAATAAAATAAAATATCCGCGCAAAGATGTACAAAGATTTACAAAGATGTACAAAGATTTACAAAGATTTACACAGTGACCTGGAATCCACTCCAGTACTGACCGTTCTACTGGACTGCCATAGTAAATCAGCTATTACGTCAAACCTACAAACTGCATGTCTTCTGGGTTAACAAATTTTAGAACTGACATCGATTTTTTTTTATTTCTTTATATTTGTTTACATAATTAATACCGTAATGTAGTCATTTCATTTTCATGTGTGGTGTGTTTTGTTTCTTGTCGTTATTCTTCTGATGAAGGCTAATCCCCGCAACGTCCTCTGTAAGTTTATTGAAAGCGCTCTTGTAAAGTTAACATATATTGTCTATTTTCTTACCATTTTAAATTTTAACTCCTTGTCTTTTGCGATCTTTTTAGATATGTTTTAGTTATTAACAGACTGACAAGAGTTAATCAGCTCAATGTCTCAATAAAAAAAAGAGCCCGCCAACCAGGAGGCGAGAAGCCGCTGACGTCACGTGTTTTGGTACACACAAAACTGGCTTCTGCTCAAAACTGCGATCAGCTGGGCCGCCTGGTGTTTTGTTCTCCGCTGAAAATGGACGGGTCGCTTCTTTCGAAGTCACAAACGCTGGAACTGCGGAATAAATTCATAGGGTAAGTGTTTGCTTCAGTTTTACGTTCCTGCATATAATCAGTAAAAACACATCAGTCTAGCGGATCGTGAAAGATAAATGGTATTGCACACTCATTACTTCTGCTAGCAGTTTTCAACTGCTCTACAACTTTAGTAATTGGCCAAGCTTAGGGAGAAAAAAAAAAAAAAAAAATGAAGCAAAATATCTTTACTTGGAAGTCAGTAGTTTCCTATCAATTATGTGCAACAAAAATGTTATTCTAATACTCTGTGCTTTTAATTAAACAAGAGTTGAATTACTTGCAGTAAAGTAAGTTGTTGAAAAAATAATGATAATAAATAAACGAAAGTTCAAAAGGGCAACTTGCTTATTACAAGACCACAATGGCAAGCAGTAAGTGTATTGAGCGAGTCACTTGTGGATATGATATTAAAAATATTATGTCACTAGTGGTTGCGCGCTTGTCAAGAAAGTAAACTGGGCCACTTGTGGTTCTTAAGTCATGGTTACATCAGTGACTGCGTTTTTTGTCAAGAAAATAAAATCACTTGTGATTTCATTGCTGTTTTGCACAAGTGATTGTTGTTGTTCTGCATGAGTGATTGTTCATTTGTTCTGCTTCAGTGAGTGTCAGTGTACTTTATGTGTGCAGAAGTGCATGTGTTTGTATGTCTCTTGGTGTGAATGTATGTTTATGTGTGTGTGCACTTGCATCTGCATGCATACATATTGTGTGTGTGTGTGTGCATCTTGTCTTCTTCAGCTTTAACCCTTTATACCCCAATGGAGCATAGGCAGCTCACCCTATATATATATTTTTTGTCCCAAATTATCTACGCAGAAAGTAAACCCTAACAGAGCCTCACTGATATCTGAAATTTGCATATTTTTTGCGGCGAATCAACCCCGTCAAAAGTAGGATTAATTGGGCACGACATTTTTGCGAAACGCAATGGATTTTTTTACGGCGATTAAACAGCGGCAAAACTAGGATTAACTACGGGCGAACAATTAGCGACATGCAAGAATACTCCCGATAGCGCTATCCTATGGCACGGCCTCAGTTATATGTAAGTTCCGGACCACTTTTTTGCAGACTATAGTGCCACCTCCGAGAGTATCCCAAGTGCCACTACGCGCCACGCGTAAGGGGCTAAACTAGATGGCTGGGACTCACGAGCAGCAGCTACCGCGTCTCCTGCAGCTTCCTTCATTGTATTTGCTTGTGAGTCCTAGCCATCTAGTTTAGCCCCTTCCGCGTGTATCGGACGAACAATTAGCGACATGCAAGAATACTCCCGATAGCGCTATCCTACGGCACGGCATCAGTTATATGTAAGTTCCGGACCACTTTTTTGCAGACTATAGTGCCACCTCCGAGAGTATCCCAAGCGCCACTACGCGCCACGCGTAAGGGGCTAAACTAGATGGCTGGGACTCACGAGCAGCAGCTACCGCGTCTCCTGCAGCTTCCTTCATTGTATTTGCTCGTGAGTCCTAGCCATCTAGTTTAGCCCCTTCCGCGTGTATCGGTGTGTGGGATACACTCGGAGGTGGCACTATAGTCGCCGGAAAAAAGTCATGAGCTACTTCTTCCATTGTAACTGGCAGCGTGGTCGCATTCGCCACTGTCAAGGGGTGGTTGGGATAGTGAAGCGCCATAGTGGCGCATGCTGGTTTGAAGTTGTCCGGAGGTGACGCGCATTACTGATTATGTCTCGCCGGAACGAGAATCGTGGACAAGCTGCGTCCTGTTCCCATCTTATTTTGGTGAGTTGGAATGGCGGACAGCCAGAAAGAACAGATATTCGTGCACTATTTGCAACTTCTGTGCAGCAGTTTTCACATTGTTGCGACAGGCCTAGCAAGCAGGCAATGGATTTATTATCGCTACAGAAAATACAATGAGATATAAACGGACTGATCAAACGAACATCGACAGTATATGCAAGAATGGCAAGCCCATGAATGAAAATGTTAGTAAGATCAACAAATTACTCTTTGCAGATGACCAGGCCTTGATAGCAGATACAGCTATGAAATTGCAACAACATCTAACATCCATGAATAAAGAAGTAAAACAAATAATATGAGAATCAACACTGAAAAGACAGAAGTGATGTCAATAGGAAAAAAAGAAGACAGATCTAAACATAGCAATAGAGTGCAAAGGCATTAAACAGGCATCTGAGTTTAAATATCTGGGAACTACATTTACCAAAGAATGGAAATTGGATAAAGAAATTAACATTAGATGCAGTAAAGCAAACCAAGTATTACAGCATAAGACAATCCCAATCAGCACAAAGAGACATCTAATTCAAAGCATATTTATTCCAACTCTGTGCTACCAGTGCCAGACATGGTCACTCACAACAAACCATAAAAGAAAATTAGTAACCACGGAAATGAGATGTCTGAGAAGGCTCTAGAAGTGACCATAAGAGATAAGATCAGGAATGAGATCATAAGAGAAAAAGTTGACACAGAACCAATTCTGGATTACATACGAAGACAGCAAGTGAAATGGTTTGCCCACTTAGAAAGAATGCCTTGTGAAAGCATACTATACAAAGCATACATGGAAAGAGAAGAAGGACGTAGAGCACGAGGTAGACCAAGAACAAGATGGAAGGATAACATCAGAGAAACTCTACAACAGCACGATGTGCCTATGGTCGAGGCGGCCAGAAGAGCTAGAAACAGAACTTTATATCTCCCTCAACACCCACAGCGGTTTAAGAGGAAGTGAAAAAGAATAAGAAGTTTTCACATATAAAGGATTCAACTGTCGGTAATTAGTATATATATACAGGGCTTTCTTCCTAGCGAAAAGGGTGTTGGTACGCACCACAAAGTGTCTGTAAAAATATACTCAGCACTCAGAATTTTTTTCACAGTAGCACTGAAAAAAAGATTTTGATTGTGGGTACTGGGTACCTGTGTATACTAGCAGAAAAAAGCCATTTGTTTATGTCTGTGTGTTTATGTTTTTTTGGGTGTGTGTATGCATTTATGTGTATTTGTGTGTTTCTGTGTATGTATTTGTGTGTTTCTGAATGTGTATGTGTATATATGCATATATAAGTGTGTGTTTGTGTTTGTGACCATGTAAAAAATGTATATGAGGGCAGTCGAATAGCAGATATAGTTGTTAAGGTATGAAGTATTAGGTCTTCACAGATTCTAGGCCACAGTTATCGGGTGGTGTGACCAGTTTTGTTCTTCCTTGCCTTTGCTTCTAAGAAAATCTTGATGAGTTCATAGAGGCAACCCACCTGATGGTCTGATGTTATATGAAACCAAACGCAAAGAAGAAGAAGAAGATCCTGGTGTGCCATTGTCTGTCACATAGGTCTTGCTGTCTGTTCTTATATTCTTTGTTAGTAAACATGCAGACCTGATTTGTTTCATGGACTAGACCAGGGCTATTCAAGTAAGTTTATTTACTCAGGATCCACATTTTTGGGAAATGGGGATCGTCAAGGACGCAGGCATAAAAAAGATCATTAATACAATACAACTGGCAGTGATCCGCAGGGGACTTTCTAGGCCTCCATATGCTGGATGAAGGCATGTGGAGTGGGAAAATCTGGAAAGAATTTGAATAAAGGGACAAAATGATTGCAGAAAGGTTGAGAGCTGAGTGTCTGAGAAGAAGCAAGCATACTAAATACATGTGATGGTAATAACAGTCCTGAAATCCTGTGCTCTGACTGTGGTAGACTATTCTTAACTCAGGCAGGTCTTCCTAGTCACTCTCATCACCATCCTAGACTTATTTCTATGTCTCCCCCAGCACAGTCCAACACTTTTGTCTGGAAGTACCGTAAGAGGCCAACAAGATGCTCTTCTGTACACATACCATACGTTTATGTTTATATTTATTCGTCGGATCAACATTATGGCACACAGGTGTAACCCATAAGTGCTCTGTTCTACTTCTAACTCAAGCCTGACGAAGAATCTCAGCTCAGTGCACGAACTCTGTTGCACCGTTGATGAACCGCTGTTAGGCTACTCTTTTCGATTTCCAATTACCAAGGTATTTTTTACGTGCTTTACAATGCACAATGGCGTCCGGTCTTACTACCCAGAAACTAGGGGAAATTACTAGAATCCCAGCCTTCTCTGGGGCTTGAACCCGGGACTTCCAGCACTCGAGACAGACACCATACCTCGAGAACATACCATACATACATGCTTTGTCTCTATTTTTTCCTTCCCGTTACTCTTCCCTGCCGCCCCTCCCTCACCCCCTCTCTCTCTCTCTTTCTATCTGTTCTCACACACACAAACATCCTCACATACATACATCTAAATCTTTACTATCTCATTCTCTTGATTTACAATTTCTATAGGCCATCCTGCACATTATTCTTCAAGTCAGACCCTCTGAAAATTGTGAGAGCATCAGGCCAGTATATGTTTGATGAGAATGGCCACTCTTACCTGGACTGCATCAACAATGTTTGCCATGGTGGGTTCCTGCTTTAGTTGTTAATTGAATTTGTGTGTAAAGTTTATGTTGGCTAAAACCTGCAAAAATTCTTATTTTCAGTAAGACAAGATAATTTTAATCTTTCAGAGATTTGAAAAAAAAAAAATTATGTGGCCAAAACGCCTGGATACCACTTGCATAAGTAGACTTTCATTCTTTCTTTAGGCATTATTATTACTCTCAGTGCAGAGGCCAGCAGTATTACAATGGACATTCAAGAAAGTAATGCCCACAATTTGTTATGAATAATCAGGATTTTGTTTGTATATTCATTATCGTCTCATGCCATTATATGTCACTTAAGGCTCGCAGTCTATTTCTTCATTCCGTTATGTCCGGTGCAATCACTTCGATATAATGGATGGAATCCAGTCCAGCGCCTTTGGCTTCTGTTAGCAAAATTCGCTTCAGGGTTCTTCTTAGACGACCTTTTTCCTCAGTCCTCTTTATTTCCCATTCCAGTGCCTGCTTGGTGATTCTCTTTTCGTCTGTTCTCAGAATGTGTCCAATATTGCCTTATCTTCTCTGTCTTATATTATATTGGTGTTCCCTCAGAAAATGTCTCTTGTTTCTTTACCCCTCTTGAATTCTTTCCATTTAATGTACATGATTTTCCTCAGGCATTTGAAAAAATGCATTTAACCTTCATTTCATGTTTTTAGTGATTCTCCAACTTCCACTGGCACATGTTAACACTGAAATAACATTAGATTTGAAAATACGTAACTTGGTTCTAAAACTTTATAATTTAAAGTTACATATTTTGTTTAAATCTTTAACAGCTGCCAGTGTCTTGTCAACATGTGTCATAATTTGTATCTTTGCCTTTCTTTGAGTATCAAGATTAATACCTAAATAAGTAAATTGATCTGTTACTTTAATTCTGTCTCACTTTAATATGCCACAGTAGACTCTTTTGTCAGAAGGGAACAATGGAGCTGGCTCAAGGAATTGGAGGAGTTACCAGGTGATAGGTTACTCATAGGTGGGGATTTCAACGCGAGGAACAGAGAATGGGACAGCAGTGGAGAAAACCGACAGGGAATTGCTCTTGCTGAGGCCATGGTTGACTCCGATATGGTCTGCTTCAATGATGTGAGGTCGACTAGAATGGCAATGAGGTCTGGCGATGCAGACACAGCCATTGACTTGACATTTGTCTCCCAGTCGTCGGTTTTAGATGTTAAATGGACTGTCCTGAATGACCATGGGAGTGATCACCTACCATGTCCAGTCCTGATTTCTAAACCCAGTAAGGTTGAGGCTGGGAGAGCACGCAAGACCTTCCAGTATAAGTGGACCAACAATCTACTTGGACACCTCAAACAGGGAGCATGCAACAGAACTGCCAGAACAAATTTTCTACAGCCCCCATGGTGGACTCCAGAAGTAGAACAGGCATGGAAGGCAAAGAGAGCCATGGTGAAGCAGCTAAAGAAAGTACGACAGACACCCTCAAGCTCACGAGAGGAAGTGATGGCGGTAAGTGTGAAAAAAAAGATAAGGTGGAGGTTTTCAAGCGCTTAGCCTTAGAGACCGAAAGAGCATAGTGGGAAACTTTTGTGAATGATATGGGAGGCGATAAAACATTGGGGAAATTCTGGAAACTGCAAAGAAAAGATTGGCCTATGACAGTCGGAACAATTTGCAGAGACGATGGTGTGTGTATGACAACAGACAAGGAGAAAGGGGAGGCTTTTCTCCATAGGTGTTTAGCTCAGACAGATCATAATGAGGGATGCAGTTAGAAAGGAGTTAGCTGGCACCTCAGAGAATATGCATTATGAAGACATGATATAAGTAGAAGATATCAAACAAATTTTAAAAAGGCAAAAGGACACTGCACCAGGGCCTGATGGGGGTCAGGTATGGCCACATGAAGACTTTGAGCGATGTAGACCTGGCAGAGATGGTCGACTGCTTTAACCAGAGCATTAAGACAACAACAGTACCGCAGGACTGGGTGCACAGCTGTCTAATCCCACTACCAATACCTTTTAAGGAACATTCAAAGCTCAGTGGCTTTAGAATCATCACCTTACAAAACACATTTGGGAAGATCTTGGAGAAGATAGTTGCTGTAAAGCTGCAAGAATTTTTGGAAAAGGGGCAGCCTCTCCCAAGAGGTCTGGGAAGCTACAGGCCAGGAAAGGACACGTAGTCAAATGCGGCCACTTTTGCTTTTGATGTCTCTGAAGGGTTCCAGAACAGACAGCAAACTCTGGCGGTAACACTGGATCTTGAGGATGCTTATAGCAGAGTAAGATACGACATCTTGATGACTGCACTGAAGGAGAAGGTCAGTCCATGGCTGGTGAATTGGGTTGCAGCTGTCCTGTATTCTCGTCGGGTTGCTCTCCGACTGGGCTCATGGACCTCAGAACCATGCAGTTTGGCACCAGGACTGCCACAGGGATCCGCCATCTCGCCTGTACACGAGCAAGATTGCAAGCCTAGAAGCACCAGGAGTTGGAAGGATACTGACTTTTGCGGATGACATACTTGCACTTAGTTTACTGGCGTTGTGCTGTAAGGTCTAACTCTTTCAGTCCCAAAGTAAGGCACGTACTTGGCTCTTGCCCCATAACTTATAGCCCATCCTGTGATGTGTTCTCTAATCTTTAACTTTTGGTCATGGCATATTGAAGAAACCTGGCTTCTTAATGCTTATTGTATTAAGCCTTTTTTAAAAGGGATTTTTCTTTTTTTTTAATCAGGATTATTTGGCCCTTTGAGCATCACCTGTAAAACTTTCTGGGACTCAGAACATGTGCATTGCTATGGCCAGTCTTTCTCTGACTTCTTTTTTTAAGTAGTCCTCATTTGTGGCATTGTGGCTAATAAAGGTGCCTGAATTTTTAAAGTTCATGACCTTTAAAATTGTGTCATTGTTGATGGATTTGTTGTTGTTGAAACCTTAACATTGAATTTGCACTGAACTACTGATTGAAATAAGAAATGTGGGCTATTCTCCGAATAACGGTCGTAAATTATCAGGGTGGAAAATATACCCTAACAAGGCCTCAGTCACGTGTCAATTGCGCAGTTCCATTGTCTTGAAATGCGAGCTTTCGGCGACTTCCGCCGCCGCTGAATTGCGAATTTTCGGTATCTCCACCATCGCTGAGAGTGTCCCCCATGCCGCTCACGCGGCGTGGATTGGGGCTAAACTAGATGGCTAAGACTCACGAGCAGCAGCTACTGCATCTCCTGCAGCTTCCTTTATTTTATTTGCTTGTGAGTCCTAACCATCTAGTTTAGCCCTAATCCACGCCACGTGAGCAGCGTGGGGGACACTCTCGGCGGTGGAGGAGGTTGCCGAAAGTTCGCAATTCGGCGATGGCGTGATAGTCTCTGGAAGTGCGCAATTGACACGTGACTGAGGCCCTGTTAGGGTATATTTTTCATCCCGATAATTTACGACCATTATTCGGAGGATAGCCGAAAATGTGCACTATACTATGTACTTTTATGAACTTCCCGGTCTGCACTGTATATTCCTGTCAGTAAATTATGCAGGAAAACATTGTGCAGAAATTGTACATTCACTGGTTGAAGATAAGAATATGCTTGACACTTGTTACTTTGTATCTACAGTTGGACATTGTCACCCAGATGTTGTCAAAGCAGGATATGAACAGATGCAGAAACTCAACACAAACTCCCGCTTCCTACACGACAACATTGTCTTACTGGCGCAGAAGCTGGCGTCGACCCTGCCTCCTAGCCTCTGCATGGTTTATTTTACCAACTCGGGGTAGGTACTACAGCAAACTCAGTTTAAGGGACGGCAGACTACTTATCTTCTTCTTCTTTCATTCACTTGAAATAAATTATCCATAATGGCTGCTTTAGCGCAGTTGATAGGAGACTCGCTTTCCGATCCAGCTGCGACTCGCTGCAGCCCACGGCCGATGTTCGAAACCGGGTGGTTCCCGAGGTTCACCCAGTCTCTAGGAAAAGGGTACCAGAGTTAACAGTCTGGGGTAAATAGAGGAACGTTGCTGTAGCTACAGAGTTGCGTGCAGACGGTGACACAGGCGGACAGTTTCTTATCAGCTGTCTGTACTGGTGGCAGAACACATGGTTTATAACCGTATGCAGTGACGCTGGTTCACATCTCCTGACTTGACCTTTTTTACCTTTTAAATTATCCATGTCTGCAGTGTTGTCTCTAGTATGAACTTCACTGTCTTTTGTAATTCACTTGGCAGCCCGTAAGTAAAGTTTGGCTTCCTTGGGTGTCTCTCTTGGCCAGAAGTTTTGCCTGGATATGTTGTATTTTAGACAGTCTTGGAGGATGTGATCTGTTGTATTAGGTGCCTGTGCACATGGCTGATTTGTGCACATGTGACTGTGAAGTCCATTGTGCTCTGTTCTAGGGCATAAAACATCACGCTGTCTTTGGAATGACCAAGAAACATATGATGGGTTGATTGGTGCTGAAAGAGTTAATGAAAGAATTAAAGATACAGTGACAGGATTCTTAGTCTGTAGACTGTTCAATTGTCTGTGATTGTTTTACGTATCATTACAGATTTTAAAAGCCAAGTAAAGGAACCTTTCTTCATGTCTTCGGGCGTATTAGGCATGTATGGGACTAGACCTATCTGCCCTTGGTGAGTCATACTATCAGCATCACAACGGCCACCTCTTATTCCCAGGACTTTACCTGGTACACTTTTAAAACGGGGTCCACTTGGGAACCATGGTCATTTTTGAAATAAGCAAGACTAAAGTCTGAAGATGGACGAACACCCATAACTTTACGCCAGTGTTTACAGCTGCTGAATGTGAAGAAGATGAAGAATTAATAAGCAACAAAATGCAGGTGATTTTTGTACAGTTCTGATCTTGACAGATTTGAATTTTTTACTTTTCCAGGTCAGAGTCCAATGACCTTGCCATCCGCCTGGCCCGTCACCACACCAAGGCCACAGAGATTATTGCTCTGGACAGGTAAAGCATGGGGATAATTAACTTGGGCCCTTGATTATCACAAGGGAAGGGCTAGGGAGAGACAGAGGAAGGCTGATGAAGCGTATACAGGAGTGAGGGAGGAAGACAGAGAAGGGATGGGGCAGTATACAGAAGGAGATTGAACTGAAAGGGAGGTTGGAGTCGTTTGAAGGCCTGTGCTCATGTGCTGATTGAAAGCCCAAAATACAAGACTATTCAAAATGATTGAGACACTTTCATTCATGTCAGTTTCCTTGAATATAAATTATATATTAATATACTTACAAGGGAGAGGGAAAGGTCTAAAGTTTTGAATACCACTGCTAGAGTGCAGTTGCGTAGCCAGCTACTCGAGTGTGCATACTTGTGCCACCAAGGACCCTGCAGTTTAGCTTCTTCGTGTGCGGGATGAATTCGGCTACCGCTATGATGTTTGCTGAGCAGCAGATGGCGGCCATATTGAACATCTATAACCTCTCTTGTAAGTGTGTAAACTTTAGGCTTTCCTGTATCTCTTGTGTATATTTTACGTAATGTATATTCAAGGTAATATACTAGGTAGGGACATATGAACATATGATGCGCTCCAGAGGACTAAAAGAGGTAATGAAAGAGTTTAAGGGCGATCACAGAATAAGAAGGAGAAGAAAAAGGTGAAATAAAACCTAATAAGAAAATTATGAAGGATCTCATTTTACTGATATCTGTTTTTTTAAATCTGTTTTCAGAGCATATCATGGTCATGTGGTTTCCTTGATTGACATCAGCACCTACAAACTGAATAATATGACAGACGGAGTGCACAAAAAGCCAGACTTTGTTCATATAGTGAGTATTGTTTTAACTACACACACACAAAAAGGACTTTCTTAATGCTCTGTGGCATAATTGAATTTTCATAGATGCTGATTGTAAAACCTTCAACAATAATATGGGTCAATTGTTTTTTGGCTGCAGTGACTAAATTTTGCTTATCATATTATCATAGATGGTTGATGTGTGTATTGTGTTTGTGCTTATCTTTTTGATGCAGTGTGGAAGTGAAAAGTAAGTCAGGTCATGGACAAAGTGAGAAAAGGGTATAGTTATGCATAGACACAGTCATGACACAGGTCAGAAAGTGCTGTTATGTCAGAATATTTTATCAGCACGACCTTTGACATCTTACCGTAATGTGTCAAAGACTAATTTGAGTCTTTGCTGTCTATATTTACCACTTCTAGCAGTGTAGGACAGGGGGAGAAACATCTCACACAAAGCATATTCCTCTGCTTCGTTCTAGGGCCCCAGTCTGGAGGGGGGGAAATAAACTATGCTGGCTAGGTTTTGTTTATTTTTGCCCCTGACAGAAAAATATCTCTATCCCTTACCGAGGATCGAACACCTGGTCTTCCGCATGAGAACTCAGTACTCATACTGCTCCGCCAGCCCAGTAAAATGTTTATAAAGTACAGGCTCAATTTCCATGCAATAAAATTTATTGAATATTTTATGCTAGTCCCATCTTTTATAGATCAGTTGGCACCGAAGGGCTGATGCGATTAATATCACACCTGCTACTTTCATTTTCCAAAATATTTTCTGGTACCAATTTTAGGCTTGGAGATTCAGTATAGATTCAGTGGTATAGTGGCTAGATGTTTCTCCTCTGGCCCGAGGGTCTTGGATTCGAATCAAGTTTGATTTGGATTTTTTCAGAAATGACCTTGGCTGCTTGGTTGACCCAGCCTTGAATGAGTACCAGGTAAAGTCCTGGGAGGTAAAGGCGGCTGGTGTGATGATGTTGGACCATAATTACACTTTGAGGCCTGATTGGTCTGTAAAGATATGAGTCTAGCACTTTATGCCCAATTTGGAAAATGGTCGTTTACTTTTTTACAGTTTTTGGCCAGGTTAAACTGGAAAACCAGACCACTTTGAAAATAATTCTGACCTCAATATTTTGAACTCTTATTACAGAATAAAGTAGCAAGCCTGTCTATATTTTTGGATACATTATGGGAGGAAGGGGGAAAGAGGGAGATTGGAACATATTGTGGCATCTTGAAATATTTATGGAAAGAGAGATATTGGAAGTCAGATGAAGGTTGTGTGCAGCCTGTTTGTCATGGCATGCTGAGGTGTTTGATTATACATTTATGTTCTGTTGGAGATCCAAAGATATGGAGAAGTGTCTTCTACTTTTTATTCTGTATTCACCCTTAAATGTGCAGCTGGCATGTTGTGTTGTGGTTTACAGCTAGGCTATGGTATTTACACTTTTTTGGCCCAAAACATCAGATTCAGCAAATTCCTGATTAGCTGCCTTTTGTGACCTGTTTGTTTCTGAAGTTGGGGGGAGGGGGGGGGGGGGGGGGGGGTCTGTCTTTTTTTTTTCATACTTAAAATGGGACCCAGGAATCCAGCAAAGGATGGAATTGTACGATCTTTCAGCGTTGTCTTCAAAGCACTTGGTGATGATGGTTTATTGATCTTAATTCTGGGCACATGATTAATATCCTTTCCTGTCTAGTAAAAAATATATGCTTTGAAGCCACACTGCACTTAGAATCTCACATTGCCTCTATAGCAGAATGACAGAGGAGTGGCTGGCTGAATGGTTAGAATACTGGCCTCTCAAGCGGGAGAACCAGGTTCAAATCCTCGATAAAGCTGAGCAATTTTTCTCTCGGAGGCAGAATAAGATCCTCACCTGCAAAGTCGTGGTAACAGCACTAGCCATGCGGCCATAAGTCCTAAGTCTCAAAGACCCCCCTGCCTACACCGGTCTCAAAGACCCCCCTGCCTACACCGGTCTCAAAGACCCCCCTGCCTGCACTGCAAATAGTGGTGAAATAAACGCAGTAATTAGCAGTTTGGCAGAATGATAACAAAACCATGATAACCATTATTTGCTGTAGAAGTTCTCGTTGATGTGCAATCCATTTTGTATTTATGTATTTTCTGCTACAGCAGCGTAAGCTTGTCTAGGGTTTTAACCCTCTGGGTTGGCATTGTGCTTCTTAACTTGTCTGCACTGTTAAACATGAACTACGCCACAGTACAGGAACAGATACAACTCTTCACAGCATAAAACAGGCTAAGGCTAACATTTTATATAATTTCTGTCAGCTTTAATGTAGTTCATCCTCATTTCCAAACCAGCACAATTTCCCAACACATGTACTTTTTTAGCAATCACAGTTCAACTAACAACTCATTTATGCTATATTCAACATATTTAACACAACAGCTGTCTTCTTCGAATTTTGGTTCACAACTGACCACGGAGCTTACTTCTTGTCTTTCTTGATTGGTCTCTTCAGCCTTGGGTATTCCGTGCCACACACACTCTTGCATGGACCATCTGCCTGGCTTGTTATGACCCTGAGCTTTCACTGAAAATGAGATCATCAAATGTGTGTAGTTCTTCTTGAATTAAAAAACTCAACCATAAGGTACTTCTACAATTAAGAAATAAAGAGGACTGAGATAAAGTAAGTAAAGTAAAGTAGAAGGCCACTGCTACATACACAAATTAGCTGACTTGAAATAAGTCATATCTGTTCAGGGAGCCACAGGTGTAACCATTATCAGGCTGCTTGCTATAAAGTCATAAACATCCACCAGATTTTGTTGAGTACAGTCTGGTCTGTTATTTGAAAAACCAATTAGGCTTACTTTGTTTAAATTGTAGAACTATGTCTTATCACACCATCACAGGCTGAATGCCCAGACATATTTCGCGGAAAGTATGTGGATACAGATTACCCACAAGAGCACCTGGGAGCCTTGTATGCTTCGGATGTGGATGACATTATCACCAATATTCAAAGAAACAACAAGGATGTCTGCTGCTTCATTGCTGAATCCATGCAGAGCTGTGGCGGACAGATTATTTACCCTAGCGACTACTTGAGCAAAGTCTTTAAGTATGTTTGTTGTACTGGCACATTTAAGATTGTTGGTTGTTGTACCAGCATATTAAAGTGTTTGTTGTACCGTCAGATTCAAGTATGTTCTTTGTACCATCACATTTAAATGTATTTCTTATACCGTCACATTTCTTTATGTTTGTTTCACTGCCTCATTGTTGTACCATGACATTTAAGTTTATTGTAGTCCACATTGTAGTCATATTTAAAGTTTGTTGTACTGTATTGTTGTACTATCACATTTGAGTATGTTGTCTATCTTTATATTGACACAGGTTTTTTTTTTTACCATAACATTGTAATGCCATCACCTCTAATTGTGTTTAACATCACACTGTAATGCCATAACCTCTAATTGTGTTTACCATCACATTGTAATGCCATCACATCTAATTATGTTTAATGTACCATCACATTGTAATGCCATCGCCTCTAATTGTTTTCACATTTATGTAGGATTATTGGACTATTATATTATTATACCATCTTGGACCCTTGGTTTTCTTCTGCGTCTCTGCCATTCCAACTTTCCTGTTGTCACAACAAACATAAGTTTTTCCCTTCTCTTGACCTGTCATGGATTGTCTTCCCCCCCCCCCCCCCCCCCCCCCCCCCCCCCCTTTTATTAAGAGATTAGCCTAATTAAATGTAAATTGACTGAGAAATGTAATGTAAAACTAAAATGTTAAAGACCCCTTTTCCAAGACGCTGTGACATATTGGAGATTTAATGCCAAGCCATTATTTTTTTCTTCTGTTCTAAAAACTTCACATGTGTTATATGTTGTCTATATGTGAAGCAAAGAATAATAACACCAATATACCATACATGTTTTTAAGATCTGTTCCACATAGTGCAACCAGTGTCTTTTTGGAATGAACTGAGAGAAAGAAATACTAGTAACAGCATTCTCCGAATAATTCTAATCCAGCATCATCACATATGGCATTTAGTGTTAGTGGCTATAAAGAATTCAGTTTTCTGAGAAGTCTTGCTTGTTTTTCAGATCAGTGAGAGCTGCGGGAGGCGTTTGCATCCTAGATGAAGTGCAGACCGGTTTTGGTCGTGTTGGATCTCACTTATGGGCTTTTGAAAGACAAGGTTTGTGGGTAACAAATAAGCTCATTTTATTTTCTATATGGTTGAAATTGTGTGAGGATACATGCGCACATGTGTGTGTATGATTGGTGGGGGAGGGCGCATGTGCGCGTGCACTTTTTTTTTTTTTTTTTAATATAAAAAAAAATCTTCTCTGAAATCTTAGTTTTATTTTATTGAAACAGGTCACAGGTTTGAAAAAATCTGGTCAGTAAAGCTGTATATTAATTAACTGAACACTTCAATTTTATCATTTGCTCAAGCTGTTTTATGTATAATGCAAACACTGTGGACATTCAGTTGAAATCTCTTGACAGTGACAATCCAAAAACTGTAGGAAACTACATCCATGACTAAGTAGCTTTATTTCAGTTGGTACTGTAACTTAGTCCTTATTTTTCAATTTAATCAGACCAAATAATTATTGCAGTACAGTACAAAATCTTTAATATATGAGAAAGGTCGCTAATATGTTTAAGTAAAAAAAATTATCCAGGACTAAAAGAGTTAATTTTTCACACACACAAAAATATGATACCTTTTTTAGGGTTTCTTTTGGTCATACTCTCTTCCTCATTCCCTTAATTTCCTATTTTAGTGCCTGCTTGGCCATTCCCCCACTTGTTTCTTCTCATTTGTCCGATGTAATAAGGGGAATTTCCATATGAGGTTTCTAGTGACGTGATAAGCTTAGATATTGGTTGAGAGAGAAATGCATAAGAGCACGAATACCCGCAGAAGCACGAATTGTAGGAAGAGTGCTCAGGTGACTGCATGAGGGACTGAGAACGAGGTTGAAAGATTGGACGATGTTCCAAACCAGTGTGTGGTTTGCAGCAAGAGTGAGAGGTTGTGTTTTGTGAGAGCATGAATGTGACATTGTATAACTGAACAACATGGATGAGATTAAATTCTACAAGATAACCGCTTTGCCAGAATCCAGTCAAGTTGACAAATAGCCTGATGGTAGAGTTGAACAGCCAGCGACAGGAGATGCTTGTTTGATACCTGTATATGTGTTGCGATTGAGATGTGAAGATTGCAAAGGTAAGGAACGCAAATGATTGTAAACAGTGGTGAGAAACTTTGTCATTGTTACCTGTTGAATGTTTGGACAAGCTAGAGAGTAGCTGGCGGTGACCGGACTGGATTGTCTTCTGTGAGTAATAAAGATATAAACTGCGCTTGTGTCTCCTCAATAACACCTGTGTGCGTCAATTCTTCACATGTGTCCGCCATTGTATAATCCCCTAGAAAACAGCCAGAGCACACTGAGAGAACAACGTGGCATCCGATAAAATTCTGTCTTCTTTGTCTTATAAGTGTTGTTACCAATGGTTGCTCAGACTTCTATGAACTGCTGCCTCATTAAACAGGTGCTTTTGGTTGTTTCACAGGAGTGGTTCCTGACATTGTGACTATAGGCAAGCCCATGGGGAATGGACACCCGGTAGCTGCTGTCATCACCACAAAAGAGATCGCTGCCAGTTTTGGAGCTTGTGGCGTGGAGTACTTCAACACTGTGAGTCACTTCCCTTACCTGTTTCCGAGGATAGCAGTGTGGTTTAAAGCAGTGTTCCTCCGTCTTTTTTTTTTTTTTTTTTTTTTAACACTTACCACCCATTAAAACGGTCCACCCACCTGACAGCTAACAAAACACAAAAGCTAGTGTAGATAGCAATTCATTTAGGAAATCCAATGTCATAGAATAACAGTTTTCAGCTAGTGCTTACAGGTTACAAATTATGATATATTTGGTCAGGGTGTTGTTTCTTTTAGACTAAGCACTACATTAACATTCATTCAGTTTCTCTGTTTGGTTAAAAACAATTTTTTTTTTAATTAATGACCTTCCTGAGAAAGTAGTTTTTTTTCCCCCCACACAAACAAGAAATCCTTGAGGTGTAAATCCTTTAAAGTAGATCAGAACAACCACCTACCCTACTTCCTTATATGATAAAGCAGAATTTTTTTTTGGGGGGGGGGGGGGCCTCCCACCTATACTTTTCCACCGCCCAACAGTGGGCCACATCCCACTGGTTGAAGAACCCTGGCTTAGAGGGTCACATACAGATTTGGTTTATGTTTCCCCCATTGTCCATATTCCTTAGAAACCATATATTAATAATGTGTGTGTACGTGTGTGTGTGTATATATATAAATATCTGTATATATGGGCGTGTGTTTATTGTGTTATATCAGTATTGAAAGTTGTTATGATATCATATTAAGGGAGAATATTTAGTTTTTGTTTGCTTATTTTACTTGTCCTTTTTTTTTAACCAGCACTCTGTTTTTACGACCTTTCATGAATCTTTTTTTGGTAAGTTAATGTGATGGCTTCCCCATCAAATAGGACATTATGTGAATAAAATTACCACACATAAGGTCTTATAAATTTTCCTGCACCGGTGGTATGAAGATAATAGTGTGACCGATTGCAGAGCAATTTGATTTTTTTTTTCTGTTTACCATTCGGTTTCACATGCTCATTTCATCAGACCATCAGGTGGGCCACCTCTATCAATTTACAAATCAGTTGCAGATCCTCCATCATAGTTCCCCATAGCTTGCTCTGCACACTTTGCTTTTGAGGCCAGATTTCTGTTTGTAATTGTAAGTACAGTGGGCAGGCTTGCAGAATGTGCTCAGGTGTTTGTGTTCCTGTCTGACATGCACGCTGTGGGAGCTGTAAGTCTTTATTTTTATGTATGTGGTAGTTGATCCTGCATTGTCATGTTTGTCTGAAGTCTATTTATGAACAAAAAGCTGATAGATGACAAGAGGTTCAATGAAATAACAGGTGTAAGAATGTGAGAACAATGAATTAGGTGTGAATCCAGCAAGGAGGGATGCATGAGAGGAAGAGAATGATGTGTGAATAATCAGTGTGCTGCAGGAACACTTGACATCTACACCTTAAGATATCTGTGGGCGTACCTGGTGTGCTGTGATGTCGATTCTTAAATCGGTTAATCAGTAATTGATGACAGGTTATTACACATTCAGTTCTATACACGATAACTGGCCCATTATACTAGTATTTGGACTAGTTTATGGTACAGGGCTGCCAGATTTTACACACAGGACGATAAAAACAAAACAAACGCTTAGCCCCAAGCCGGCGCTCTTCCCACTCAGACACCTGACCACACACAGACACTCAGACACCGTCACCTTTTCCTTTGCCTGATATAGTTTTCTACGCCGTGGAAGCAGTCCTGAACTCAGACCGAGGTCTGGCGGCTTACACAGTAGGTCGCTTTTGATTGGTCGTTGCTCAGGCTCATCAACAGTGCTAAAGGTTACCAGAGTTCACCTGTACTGTTTGTTCACAAAAGCTGTCTGCATTGCCTTCTAGTTGTTTTCTGTCCGAGAAAGATAAAGCACCTGGGCTGCATGCACTCTCCTAGCTGGGTTTGTGTTAGGGTCAGTCCTGCATGTGTTGGGACCGTTAAAAACGCTGACATTCTGGAATATACAAAATGCGATATCAATAGCAGATGAAAACAACGCAGTCGGGTTTTCAAACAAAAAGAGTACACCGGATCACGCCTGTGGCCTTGACCAAAGTTCACCACCCTGACAAAGTATAAAGTAAAAGTGACCTAGAGTGTAAGTGGGCGGAGCTGCGGCCAAGTTCATTTGACCAAATAATTACACCCCTCTTGAAATAGACTCATCTGTGAAAGGTCACTAAATGTGTAGTAAATGTGTAGTTGGGCCGCCAATCATGTAATGGACCACACATTCTGTCTCTGCATCATATAATTTTGAATGCTCCTGGCTTTGCTGTGAAACTACAGCCTGTGTCAGTATTTTGCACAACGTACAGAGAAGGACGTTCTGTGTGGTTTTTGTTAGCACTGCAACAGAGCAGTTAGGAAGTGACCCACTTACTGTGAAGTTGGAACTGCAATTAACTGATTAACTGTCCACAGTATGGAGGCAATCCTGTATCCTGTGCCATAGGACTGGCAGTTCTGGATGTCATAGAGAAGGAAGAGCTCATGAAGAAAGCTTGCCTGGTGGGAGATGCTATGAGCAGCAAATTGTTTGATCTCAAGGAGAAATACCCCAGCATTGTAGGAGATGTCAGGTAGAGTTGATCGTGTTGATCGTGTGTGTGTGTTTTTTTTTTTAAATCCAGAGCCCCATTTTGGAGGGCAAGAATACACCTACTTGCATTTCCACAGGCATATTGTTAAAAAAAAACAGCAGCGTCTGTGGCTTAGGTGTTGCGAGTCTTGACTCATAATTCCAACGTACTGCTATCAAAACCCACTGCTGGCTGCGTGGATTTTCATTGTGGTATGGGGCGTTGCAGGTCAACCCAGCCTAAAATGGATACCAGGATGTATGTCCTGGGGAAGTCAAGATGGCCAGCAAAATGCTGACCCACGTAGTGCCAGTTGGTCTGTAAAAATATGGGTGCTCTTCCTATATGCTCTAGGCGCCTGAAAAGGGATCTTTACTTTACTTTACTATATTGTTTTTAAAAAGAAAGCCTGATGTTATCATATACAATAATGTACACTGATGGATCAGTGGCCAGGGGTAGAAAAAGTGGATGGGGCTTCACTGCAAAAGCATAGGGTTGAAGGGCGCAACCAGCATAAGAATGGAGGTTGAGGTGTAACTGCTGCATTTCGATGGGTGGAGAAAATCTCAGCTACACATATTTGCAAAGCATGCTCAGCACTGAAGAGGCAGGTTTCCTTCAAATGGAGTGGGTCACATTTGTCCACAGTGGTGAGAGTCACATGGATATTTTGCCCCGACCATTCAGGCATGTTTGTCAATGAGCCGGCAGATAGGTTTGCTAGACTGGCCCCACTGGGTGGTTGGGGGTGTTTGTACCGCAGCTGCACAAAGCAGAGGTGATCTCTCACCAGTGGGGTGAGGTAACCAGTAAAATTGAGGATACTGAAAACCTGTACCTGGAGAGACTGATGCAGTGAGGAGTGTGGCTGTGGGCGCCACTGGAAACTCTAGGGAAAGTCTAGACTAGTATTTAACCAGATAACGGGTACCTGGAGAGACTGATGCAGTGAGGAGTGTGGCTGTGGGCACCACTGGAAACTCTAGGGAAAGTCTAGACTAGTATTTAACCAGATAACGGGTACCTGGAGAGACTGATGCAGTTAGGAGTGTGGCTGTGGGCTCTGGGCGCCACTGGAAACTCTAGGGAAAGTCTAGACTAGTATTTAACCAGATAACGGGTACCTGGAGAGACTGATGCAGTGAGGAGTGTGGCTGTGGGCGCCACTGGAAACTCTAGGGAAAGTCAAGACTAGTATTTAACCAGATAACGGGTACCATTAGTGTTGAGACGATTCTCTGGCTGTTGCGGATGGAGATGTAGCTAATATGGGCTTGTCCTTCGTGATGTGATGTCGAACCTTTACCCAGATGAACCCACAACCAGTTAATAAAAAAATAAAAAGACTTATTAGGGATTTACTGAAATCAGATGTGTTGGGCCAAAAGACACAGATAACACAGCCTAGCTGAAACCATAACACAATGGGCCAACAGCCCTTTTAAGGGAGAACACAGAAGAAAAAGAAGAAATTTTACACATGTCAAAGTGTAGTGAAAGAGAGGGGAAATGAGATGTGTGTGCAAATGTCTTGTGGGAGATGCTATGAATAGAAAAGCTATTTGGTCTCAAAGAGACTAAATATCCCAGTATTGAAGCAGAAATCAGGCAGAGTGTCCCTCCCATGAAGTCTTCATTTGCTCTTCACAGTTTTCACTTATGCACTAGACACTGAAGACTCAACAAACACTCATATAAATTAGGTATAAGCCAAACAGTTCTCTGCCGGTGTCTTCATGCTGAACAGACTCCAGAACATGTCTTGCAAGACTGTCTTTCTTGGTGGAGCTGCAAAGCAAAATGTGGTCACCCAGTAGACCAGACAGCTAAGCCTTAGGGAAACCTAAGAGACATTGAGATGACATCTCATTTTATGGCCCACAGTGCATAACCAGAGATCGCTGAAGATGAACAAATAAGAATAGTATGGCTGACAGAGTGGGATGACAGAAAGTGGTGATGTGGAAAATGTGACAAAAATGATATTGGATGAGATATTCCCTGTGTGGCTTTCTGACCACATTTGGGGTGTGGGGGGAGAATAAACCCACTACCTCTTAACAAGCATGCCATAAAAGGAGACTAATTAGGAGTTTGTTCAAGCCGGATGAGTTGGATCAAAATACACAGATATCAGAGCCTGCTTGTAAACCACAATGTGCCAGCCGCCCCTTTAAAGATGAACAGCCTGTATCAGTTCCTGTACTGACAAAAGACTAAATAATCTGAGGATTTTGAGAATCAGATTCTGTCCAGCCGAGTTAGTTTTTAGCAAATTCTTTACAAGACATTACAGAACCAACCCAAGCATTTGTTGGCTTTTTTTGGTTTTACTAGGCAGTTTTGCACTGGATAGTTTGCCATTGCTTTTTTACATGGTCAACCCTCGACACCCCTGTGGAAATCAATGCAAGGTGTTCTCCTGCCAGATCACCTGCAGCTGCAATTGAACTTGGCTTCTTGGAACTACAAAGTGCGTTCACAGCACCTGAGCCACACAGACTGCGACACTTTTCCGGTCAATGTGAAGATGTTTGGTATCAAATCCCAGCAGGGAGGCAGAGTTGCTGAACTACCCGCAGGGATCAGGGATCAGACTGGTCAGGACCTGTCTACACGTCTCCTAGAAACAGTTTTCCAGCTGGGGGCCTGGCTAGCTTCGATAGGACCAACATGCTTTAAAGTTGGAATACATCTGCCTGGCAGTAAAGAACCAACAGTCTGCACACTTTGAGCCAGATCTGAAAAATGGATCTGCATGCAAAACTAAGTATCTTGGACAAGAGCAGAGTCCAGAACTAGAAGAACAACTAGGACATTCCCTGGTAGTTTACAGCCAGCAAATAAAAAGAAAAAAAAAGGAAGAGGATGGATGTATAATATTTGAACAGTTTCTAACAATTTGTGTGAGCTTACGTGTTGATTGCCTTCACAGTTTGTAGCTTCTGTTGTCTGCACTAACATTGATGGCCTGTTTAAAATTTACATCTCCTTTACAGGGGCTTAGGGCTGTTCTGGGGCATTGATATGGTGAAGGATCAAAATACCAGAAAACCTGCCACAGAAGATGCAGCTTTTGTAGTTAAGAGGTAACTGTATATCTTTTCATGTTCAGCTCATTTTTCTATAGAGCAGTATTCCCACTTACATCCTCCAATGAGCGGAAAATTGTGACAACAGAGATGAAATGCTTTAGAAGAGCTGCAGGAGTTTCAAGGAAAGACAGAATACAAAATCATTAAATCAGACGAATGCTAGGAATAAAGCCAGTCTTACAGGTCATCAAAAAACAACAAATGAAGTGGTTTGGACATCTAACAAGAATGCCCTGGTACTATCTGCCACAGCGAGCCACACTAAAACGTAACAACGGGTATAGAGCGAGAGGAAGACCTCGGAAAAATGGAGGGATGGCATTAAGAACAGTCTTACAGAAATGAACATCAGTCTCAATAGTGATCTTGTCAGAGCTCATCAGTGAATGTTACATCTCCCCCCGACACTTCGATGAGGTACAAGGTGGAAGAAAAGAAGAAGTATTCCCTCTAGTGGTAGGTTGTGTTGTCAGAAAGAATTCTGCTTTGTGAGCTACTGGCATTTACATTTTGACAAATTAGTCAGTCAGTTAATTAGGTGTCAATCTTCAGTGACAGTTAGCTGCAGTGGTTCTGTCACAAAACTACTGAGTTGAGTGCATGGTGGGACACTGTGAGCTTCAGGTTTGATTAAGAATGTTTTTTGACCATGCCCAACATGATTTATGTTGTGAACTGCAGAGTCAGAAAATGATGTGTGACTGTTGCCACAAAATTAGTGCTGCCTGATGTGACATTACATGTGCTACTGCCGATTTATTGTGACTGCTGCTTCTGTCAGCAACTCTAGTGGCGGACTGTTTGTGTTGGCACTTCCGATGGCTGCCTTATGCTACTTATGCTATTAGTTTTTTTTTTCTTTCTGGGGTTATAAATTTTTTTTTTTTTTTCAAATTGTTTATTGGGTGAGAGGGTTAAGGACGAACACAGAAGAAGGTGGTTCTGTGTAGTGAAAGTTTTGAAAGTTGTGGTAAATATATCAAAGAGAGTCACTGTTTAGGTTTAAACTAATCCATTCCCATCATTTTCTTGACAGTATTTGAAATATTTGCTGATTTTCTTGCAGGATGAAGGAAGAGCGTATCCTAGTAAGCAGAGATGGGCCCTATGAAAATATACTGAAGTTCAAGCCACCGATGAGCTTCAGTGTTGACAATGTTGACACTCTTACTGAAATGCTGGACTCAGTCTTCTCAGAGCTCTCCAGAAAGAGAGAATCTGCCTCACAGGAAGTGACTGACAGCAACAATTCTGCAGTGAATGATGAATTATCAACCAATGGAGAACCACCAGTCAAACGGCCTTGCCTGAATGGTATAGAAACACAAACTTATTAATTACAAAGTGGTACTTCACTGCTTCAAAAGACCGGTGCCTCATATAATGTGCTCATTGAAAGACTATTTTATGTATTCACATAGGAAGCTGACTTTTTTCTCTTCTGCTGAAAACAGTCAGATATTTCTTTTTTCCTGTGATAACATTAAATACTTCTTTCTGTCTTCAGTCACAAATATAATTTGATGTATTGCCCAGATAAAACTCTCATCATTAAGTATGATGACTTTTTATTGTACGTAATCACTTTCGTATCCTCTCAAAAAAATGGTCAATCCATTTGCCTCCTGCTCTGAAGGTAGTGGGTTCGTTTCACTAACACATCATTTATTTCATGAGTGCAGTTTTAACGTATATCCCTAGGGATTATGGCTGGAGCTACATTCTGTTTTGTGCGGCACTTTTGGCAGGTGGCTAGCCATTCTGTTTTGTTTGGCACTTTTGGCAGGTTGCTAGTCATTCTGTGGACAGATACTGAACCATGTGGGTAGCCTAGTGCAGTGAAGCCCAACTTTAACTCTAGACTACCTCAAGTTTCTCAGATATTTGTTTCCAGTGTTTTAACTTCATTAGATGGGTACATTGAAGAAAGGCAAAGAAATCAGTGCTTAGACAACCGCTTTTTAATTCTAATGTCAAATCAGTACTTTTGTATGGAGCGGAAACATGGATAACAACCAAGGCAACTACTAATAAACTACAAACTTTCATGAATTGGTGCCTGCTCAGGAATAGAGGGAATTAAATGGTATGAAAGAATCACTAATGTAGAGCTTTGGGAGAGAACTAAAAAAGTTCCAGTGGACCAAGAGGGGAAGAAAACATGCTGGTGTTGAATAGGACACGTTGAGAAAACCTGAGGACAGTATACTAGAATGTCTTTGCACTGGAACTCACAGGGACTTTTGAAATAAAGGAAGACCAAAAAACACACGAAGGGAGCTAGAGAGTGAAATTAAAGGGAAGAGGAGGACTTGGGTAGAACTGCATGCGATAGCCAAGAATAGAGCCTCTTGGCGTGAGTTGGTTGAGAGCCTATGCTCCATTGGGGGCTAGAAGGGCAGAAGAAGAAGACACCTGCTGGTATCAACAGTGAGACTGGGAGTCGCTGTGGCGTTGGCGGCTAGACGCCCAGCTGCAGATCGGAAGGGTTCTGACGGAGCTGGACTTTTTTTTTTTTTTTAAATGACCTCGACTCCCAGGTGGACCCAGCTTTGAGTGAGTACCAGGTGAAATCCTGGGAAGTAAAGGGGCTGGTGTGATGTTGACCACATCACCCACCAAGTGCCGATAGGTTTGTAGAAATATAGGTCTAGCCCTATATACCCAATATGACGTCTAAAGGTGTGAAAAAGGGACCTCTACTTTACTGAGGTGAGGCTCACAGAATCCCACAACAGATGTTGAAATGAGTAACAGATGGACTGAGCAAGTGAGATCATCCAAGAGAAACCCGGTGGCGAGCATTGATGAGAGAGACCAAAAGGGCTGGACGGGATTCCATACAGGATATTGAAAGCACAGTATAGAACAGATTGAAGGAATTGACTGCAGGTCTCATGTGACATATAATCTGAACTATCTGAAGTCATTTCTCAGTTTTTATTGTATCCACAAAGTTTGGTTACTTTTTCCCCTGCATATTTGAAAGTTAAGGATTCATATTGTATTGCAGTTTGCTAGAAATTGTATTCTAGGGAACAATTGATATGTCCGATGGAAACATTTCTGTGTCCTATAGAAACTCTATATCATAGGGAACCATTTCTATGTACTAAGGAACCACTACTATGTACTAGTAACTGTCGTTTTGTGCTAGATAACTACCGCTATGTCCTAGGAACCACTTCTATGTCTTATATAACCTTAGCTATGTCCTATATAACCATTGCCATGTCCTACATAACCACTGCTGTGTCCTAGATAACCATTGCTATGTCCTAGATACCATTGCTATGTCCTAGATAACCATTTCTGTGTCCTTCTGGTTTATGATGTGGCTCTGTAACATAGTAGTTAGTGAGCACATCCCATGATCAAGGTAGCTGGGTTCGATGCTCGTGGCGAGTTATTAAGAAAAAGATGATTGACGTGACTGTCAGACAGTGTTGTTAGACTTGCACAAAGATATTGGAGCCTCGTCGGTAATGTTGCCCCAAAAAGCAGGGGCCTTATATATCTGCTGCACTTAACCTCCATTAAGATTTTTGTGTGTGAGGTCACAACAGTAATGGAAAGGTCCTTGCTTCAGACTTGTAATTGCAAGTTCCACTATACTGTCGACCTACATATAAGTGACTGGCAAAAATGTTGAAAAAGAGTGCAGAGAAAAGAGGAATGTCTGGGCAGCCGCTAGTATCAACAGTTATAAGACAAGAAAAGATGGCCCCACATTAAACACATCCTGAGAACACACCCGTAGAGAATCACCAAACAGGCATTAAAATGGGGAATACAGGGATTAAGGAGGCGAGGACACCTAAAAGAAACCCTAAGATGAATGTTGATGAGAGAGGCCAAAGCTGCTGGACTAGATTCCACCGATGATATTAAACTGATTGCACCAGATGGAACAGAGTGGAGGAAGAGATGGCGAGCCCTGTGTGACATCTAATGGCCCAACAGGTTAATGAATGACAAAGTTGTAGAGGGTGAATTGACTTCATTGAATTGAGTTTTATTATGTCTGGTCATTCTCTGTTATCATAGCATCTTGACATCCAAAGGTTTTGGACTTGTCAGCTTGTTCCACCTCTCAAATGTTATATTGTTTTAGATCTCCAGGGGATGTGATGTGGCCACACTTATTACTACATGGCTTATACTTTATGAAATGCTCTTAACATACGGCTGGCCATTTTAAATAATAAGCAACTGAGCCAGGTGCAGTAAAACCATGTGCAATGAAGCCAAACCTCTCACCATTAATCACCTTTGCTTTAGAAACCATGTTGCTAATGGGAGCTATCGTGGTGTAGCGGCTGGACGCTCACTCTGCAGATCTAAAGGTCGTGGGTTCAGATCTGAACTGAGTCAAACTTTTACAAAATGACCTTGGCTACCAGGTCGACCTAGTCTTAAATGAGTACCAGGTAAAAGTCCTGGGAAGTAAAGGTGGCCAGCATGATCTTGACCACCTCACCCACTGACTGCCAGTTGGTCTCTAAAATATAGGTCTGGCAGGCAGTATATGCTGAATACACCTGTGGCGGCCTGGAATAGTTTCGCTTACTTTGATGTATTGTTAACTTTGGCAGCTGGGGTGTCTATGAAGAGTGCCTGTCTGTCGGCTGCAGTTATCGAATGTTACTGCATCATCTGTTTTAACTATTACTGTTACATTTAGTACCTTATGTTGTTTTGTTGTGGGTACTTTTGCAGCACTAGTGTATGCTCATTTTCTTTTTCTCAGCGACACACACACACACATATACAAATGTATATATTTATATTTGCACACATTTAGAATTCGACAGTAAATAGGGCACTAGAACAGAAGATAACTGTTTGTGAAATATGCTGTCTCCGTAAGGTCACCTGTAACACAAGAAGGGACGGGGTTATGAATACCAGCATTAAAAAGTTGAAATAAGACGGTGTCTGAATTATGTTGACAAAGAAAGAATGAAATGTTTTGGCCATCTAGTGGGAATGCAGCCAAATCAAACTGCATATGAGATTTTGTTTTACAGCAGATCATCTGGGAAAAAGTGAGAGAAAGATAGAAGAAAAAAAACAGATAAATGATGTAGTTGAAACCTGCCAAAAGGTGAACGAATCCAGCACCTAAAGCACAGGAGAAATGCAGGAAACCACGACACAGGGCTGCAACCCAAGATCAGTGAGATGACAAAAGATACATGCAGGAAACCACGACACAGGGCTGTAACCCAAGATCAGTGAGATGACAAAAGATACATGCAGGAAACCACGACACAGGGCTGTAACCCAAGATCAGTGAGATGACAAAAGATACATGCAGGAAACCACGACACAGGGCTGTAACCCAAGATCAGTGAGATGACAAAAGATACATGCAGGAAACCACGACACAGGGCTGTAACCCAAGATCAGTGAGATGACAAAAGATACATGCAGAAAACAAAGCAAAGGACCCGTTATTAAACATTTGGGTATATGCTTATTCTTTTTGTAGAGTTTCTTGGATGTTGTTTTACCATCTTGTTTTTGGTCTACCTTGTGCTCTACATAATTCTCCTCTTTTGGTGTTTGCTTTGTATGGTATAGCATCACAAGTGATTCAGACAATACCTGCTGGTATACAGATACCTGTGGCAGATACCTGTGACATACAGATAACTGTGGCAGATACCTGTGACATACAGATACCTGTAACATACAGATACCTGTGAAATCAAATACCTCAGACATACAGATACCTGTGACACACAGATACCTGTAACATACAGATACCTGTAACATACAGATACCTGTGAAATCAGATACCTGTAACATACAGATACCTGTGAAATCAGATACCTGTGACATACAGATACCTGTGTAATCAGATACCTGTAACATACAGATACCTGTGAAATCAGATACCTGTGACATACAGATACCTGTGATATACAGATACCTGTGACATACAGATACCTGTGATATACAGATACCTGTGACATACAGATACCTGTGACATACAGATACCTGTGACATACAGATACCTGTGACATACAGATACCTGTGACATACAGATACCTGTGACATACAGATACCTGTGACATACAGATACCTGTGACATACAGATACTTGTAACATACAGATACCTGTGACATAAGGATACTTGCTTTGCCTTTTGGCTATAGTAAATAGACAGATCTGCTGCAATTGATTTCTTCTTTTAATACAATTGTCTCTGGCAAATTTTAAAATGCTGTTTGTCTTATACTTGTTAACTAGTCTTGTAGTCATAATGTGGATGGGGAAAGGTCAAATATATTTAAGCACTTGTTATTTTAACTCTTTTGAATCAGTGGAG